AATCATAATCTTTGGTAGAGGAATGTAACTGCTCTCCACTTTGATTGGGCTCATAGGTCCCTCTTCATGACTATTAAGCAGCTTACATTTTATATCCTAAATAGTTTTATTTGCTGTAAGTTTAAGAGGTTTGTGTTGGTTATCTACTCCAGTCAGCTAAGATGAGCATAATGACTGTAAATTTACCTTTTCCTGTTATAGTCATCTTCAGGTTGTGGTTAGTGTTGATTCATTTGTAAGCTATAACTTGTGCATGTTTTTCTTTTCCCAGGTGATTCTTTTGTCTGCCACCATGCCTCAGGAGGTGCTGGAGGTGACCACAAAATTCATGAGAGATCCTATTCGTATCCTAGTTAAAAAGGAAGAGCTGACCCTGGAGGGTATCCGGCAGTTCTACATCAATGTTGAGAAAGAGGTGTGTGGAGAGCTTAGCGTTGAGAAATGAATATTTGTATCTCAAAGCTGTCCAATTTGTTGTTGTCCAAAGTTGCTGTCATTTGTTACTGAAGTAGTAATGCTGTTTTGTGATGATCCCCATGCGTGTCAACTGATCCCAGACTTCCTGCAGTGCTCTGTGTCTGATAAGCGTTTTGCTTAGCTGTGCATTTGAGCCTGTAGGACTGTGGGAACATGATCTTAACTTTAGTCTGAAAACAGCACCACCTAGTGGCAGAGCTGAGTTTTTCTTTTCTTTTTTTTTCTATTTGCTAAGATCTCTCTTGTCTTTCAGGAGTGGAAGTTGGACACATTGTGTGATCTTTACGAAACCCTGACCATCACACAGGCTGTAATTTTCATCAACACCCGACGAAAGGTGGACTGGTTGACTGAGAAAATGCATGCAAGAGACTTCACTGTTTCTGCACTGGTGAGTGACAATCACATGATGTGACGTTTTGCTAATTATGTATATGTACATGTTTTATGAACTATGCGCACTGTCTTCATAGCACGGTGACATGGAGCAAAAGGAGAGGGACGTCATCATGAAAGAGTTCCGCTCTGGCTCCAGCAGAGTCCTCATCACTACTGACCTGCTGGTAAGCTACCTTTCACCTTCACCCACCGTTCTGAGATGTCATACCAAGGATACCTCTTCCACCAGCATTCTGTGCTGTGATGGGTATCAAGGTCTTTGGGAGACTATTCTAACTGCTCTCCACAGTGCCTGGGCCGCCAAGTCCCTTAACACGACTATAAAGCAGTTGACATTCACACGTAAAATCTGTGCTTTTAAATATCTTTAGATTGTTAGTTGACTGCTTTTGTTCTTGAATCTGTAAGTGGACTAAAGTGTCTTAAATACTTTCAGGCAAGAGGCATTGATGTGCAGCAGGTTTCCCTGGTTATCAACTATGACCTTCCAACAAACAGGGAAAACTACATCCACCGGTAAGTCGACGAAGCTCTTTCTGTGCTTTTTGTCTGATTTGTGCAATTCTGGCTGTTGTGTAATAACAGTGCTTTATTTGTATAGAATTGGACGTGGTGGCCGTTTTGGCAGAAAGGGCGTCGCTATCAACATGGTCACTGAAGATGACAAGCGTACACTCCGAGACATCGAGACCTTCTACAATACAACCGTGGAGGAAATGCCCATGAACGTTGCTGATCTTATCTAAGACCCCAGCCCTTTTTTTTTTTTTTTTTCTCATTCCAACCCACATCCCTTTTCGCGCAACTCCCTCACAAATCAAGTACTGTTAATTCTGAGGGTGCGCTTTTTCATAAATCCAGTATGTCTGCCACATCACTCAATTATTCGGAACGAATACTCAATATTCTTAAGGCTCATTTAATCTTGCCCTTTTTGAGTGGTGCCATCTACTGATCAAGAGGAGGCATTGCAGGGCTTATTTGCATGTTAGGTGTAAAAGTTAATTCACTGACTGGCATATGGATTGAAGACATGCCCTGCTTTTCTTGATAGTGTTGGTTTAACCATTTTTGAGATGTGACTTTACATTGGATTATTTTTTGGGTTAAAACAGGGCAAAGGATGTAAAACACAGAATTATTCATGTTTTATATGGGGGACTTGGACTCTTATTCCAAATCTTCATCACTGCTATCTTCCTTTTACAGAAGCATCTGAGTGCTGTAAGTTCTGCTTAAAGAAAAGAGGAAGCTGGATTGTGTGAGCAAACCAGATTGTAAAGTTGCAAAAAGTGTTCCAAGTCATTTTCTCCTGGTCCAATTGTTCGGTTACATCTCTTGTGTTGTCCTGTGTGCGTGGTTGTAGCTTTTTGATTTTTGTAAATAGGCTTTACTCTGGTGGGATGGGTGGCTCAAGGCATTAGAAATGAATTTGGCATGATTGGTATGGCTGGTTAACAACCCACCATTGTATTGCCTCAGATTTTCTCTGCATCAAAGTCCTATTGAGGAGTGTTGCTCCTACAACCTACCTCACCAAACTGTGTTGGATGGGTCTAAATATGTAAAGGACCAAACTGCAGTAGTAGAGTATATAGAGATCATTATGTCTTCGTATTGTTCAAACAATGCCTCTTTTGTTGGGTGGGTTTGGATGTGGGGTTAACATTGGTCAGTGCTATTTTTTTAAACAAATTTATTACAAATGTGATAATTATTAACCTTTTTGAGACGGAAGCCATGTATTAATTCTTTTCTACATTGGACTCTGTATAGTATTTATTTTAATGGTCTGAAATAAAGGTATTTCCCATTTTTAACATGCTAAGCTGACTCTTACTCGTTCATTGGGTTTAGTTTACTGCAAGACTGGTTTCATCTTGCAATACGAGTAGGAGATCTCAAAGCATGTGTTTGTGGTTCCCGTCATGGTTGAATTTTTTTTTTTTTTTTTTTTTTTCCCAATGTTAAATACCTTTTGCCATTTTTGTTCCTTTATCAACATTTCAATCACTGTCTTTCATCATTCAAATGGTGTTTGATCAGATGTGGGTTATATGGTAGACATGATAAATGTTCAGTAGCCGTTGAACAAGTCTTATCAATGTTAGGGATGATGGGAATTAAAATTACGTCAGTTGCTCACCTGTGGATCCTCTGCAGTGAATAGTAGCCTCAGAATGATTCAAAGCAGCTGATTTAAAAACATCACAATTCCCAGATAATGTCTTGTGAAGTGAAATGTGTTGAAGAAACTAATGTTGAATAAATGTTCAGAAAACCTTCATATTGGGGTCAGCTATACCTTTACGTAATTCTAACGTAAACTTGTGATGCTCGCTTGTCAGTGATAAATAAAACCATAAAAGATTTGTCATGGTACTAATAAACTGAATGTGTTTCAAATACACAATAGCCAGGTTTATATATTTATCAATTCAATTACATTTAACTAATTTAATCTTGCTTGCTCCACAGCCAGCCACATTTTAACAATAAAAACATATTTTCACAAGTATTTGTGGTGATGGCTAGGGAATTAGTATAAATATATTTGAAAATAAGATTATGTAAATACATTCGAACATATGCAAATACTTAATAAACTGCCGTGATTAATTTGTCTTTTCTGTGTAGTTTCAAAGATAAGATTTTTTTTTTGATACATGGATGACACTTGGAAAACCGTGCCAACTAATCACAACTAGTGACCGAATGACCACCTTGTGTTATATTAACAGATGTATTTGCACTTTGTTCAGTAAGTAGGCTAAATGCTACGTCATTATATCATTATGCTAAATCCGGTGCCCATTTTACTGTGAAGCGCTCCTGAGAGAAGCACCTCTCGAACCAAGAGCCGAGAGATGGTCAGTTCTGAGCGCGTCCACAGGAGGGCAGATCTGTACACCATCTGTATCCACAGGAGAGAAAGCAGCTTTCGCAGGAGGCTCGTAAAGGGCCTGCCAGGGTCTTTATGTGCAGTGACGGATGGCTAGGAGACTGAAGCCTCCATTTACATAAGAAGGGAGAGAATAGAGGCCCCATTCACTCGGTCTGTCAGGGAGGATTCAGGGACAAAATGCACTCTCTCCAAGTTGCCCTCTTCCCCTCTCAGTCTCTCCTTTCTTCTTTATCTTTGCCATTCTCCCTTCTCCTCAAGCTTTTCCTCATCCGTCCTCCTTTCTTCAGGCCATTGTAATTTATTGTGAACGCAGTCTCTTCATTTTAAGGCCACTTAATTTATTGTTCTTTTACTCTATTGGGTTTCCTAATTCAAATCAAAATGTCATATTTGCCTCAATGAATTACATAGCGTTTAGATTTTCATTGTTCACAGATTAAAACAACTCAAAAAAGGTATTAATACACTATAATATAATCTAACTTAAAAGGATATTTTGAATGCTTGAGTCCAAACATTGTTAAAACAACAACAGCAACAACAAAAACTATAAAACCCTTATTAATAGAATGTTATTAAAAAATTTTATATCTCTGTTCATTTTTTTACTTTTATTTGCAAAAATATTAACCATTCAAACTGTGTTGTTGCAAGGGATGATGATTAAATCTACTATTTACAAAAAAAAAAATCAAAACTTCTCAGTAAAGTTAGTCAAATCAAGAAAGTGTTCAAATATTTCATCAAGATTGTCTTTTGATTCTAATGAAATTACTTTCTTATTCTAATGAAATAAACGTTCTTGGAATATTCTGATCATCAATGTTTTTGGGAATTTATCATTTATATTTCAGAAATTATAAAAAATGGTGTTAAAGTTATAATTTATATAATTAAAATAGAATTAAATATAACAGATTATACAAATTAATTGTTTAAAATTAAATTTATAATTGATATTTCAGAAATTATTAAAAAATAATGACGCTAAAGTTATAATTTATGTAAACAATATATAATTGATTGAATATATTTTAACTTTCATTAAAAAAAAACTAAATTCATATTTTAAACACTGCATCCATAAACATGTGAATTATAGTAATTAAAAACAGTTGCTTATACATTAGAAAACTAAAGATTATTTCATTTTAAAATGTACAATTCAGGAAAGAATTGCACACACAAACACAACAGAAGAACAAATAAGCAAAAACAGTCTAGATGCAGTATTTATTTAGTTCAGTCAGAGAACTCATGTTGATTCTCCCTTACGGGTTGATTCAGGTAGCAGTGTTTGAGCAGCTTAGAGCCCAGCTGAATGGGTGGTTATCTTTTGTGTGCGCTTAGGAAAAACAACTGTGTTGCAACTTGTTTTGGGCATACATATTCAAACCCATAAAAACACTGGTTTTAAAAAGCAATACAGTGGTCATGGAGAGGCATGTGAAGCACATGTGTATGCAAACATGAGGGCTTTGAACGACCCGTGTTTGTGAGTAGGGGCTACACTTAACATTTCTGAGAAACTCTCTGAGCTGTCTTGGTGCTGTCACAAACCAAGTGGGACAAAGAAAGAGGATGGCAGAACGAGTTGGACACTCTCCATAAGAGGTTTTCTGTTTGTCCAAAATGTTTTTGTTTTTGGATATGGCTATATAAGAATGAAGCCCCACAATTTGTGGTTTGATTGGCATAAAGGCGTAACTGTCAGTCACGAACAGAGGCCGCTCACATGGTTCACAAAGCACCTGCAAACTCACAAGCACTCACACCTGTGTCTACAAAAAAGAGAAAGAAACAACGTAAAGCTTTGCACCCACACCTTTTCTCAAGCAATTACAAACACTGAAAATCCCACACAGAAAGTCACGTCATAAATTGTCATCAAAAGGCAGTAATTGCACATTGCTGTATGAAGACTTGAAAACAATAGCCTATCTAATTATATATTGTGTGTACCATAAAAAGGTCACATAAATTTACCCAGAAAACAAACAAAGCTCACACAAGATTTAAACACAATTACTAAAAACACTCAAAAGCACAATTTACACTGTATGTAATAACTAATAAGACAATAATACACTATTATTTTATTTTATAATATATTATTAATGATAATACTTCAGCCTTCAGCCTTCATGAATAATTATATATCAATTATAAATTATTAAATACAAGATTAATAGTAGTTATAATTATTGGTAAACTGTGCTTGGAAAAAAATATGATCAGAATATCAACTTGCATAATAATTATGCATGCACTGTATTTTTCCTCTTCTGCTGTCGAGGTAATGCAAGGAATGTTGTGATTGGTTGTCAAGGCAGCCAATCAGAATTTAGCAGCCTCGGTCTCTGATTGGCTGGAATTATGGCACATTGTAACGCTGGGTTGTGTTGAGCACTCGAGCTGTTGGCATTTAGCAAGCACTGAGGGGGGCATCAGGTGAGCTAGTGAAACGTTGCACGCGCAAAAGAGAAGGTCTGCACACATCCAAAAACTTATTTTAAATGCAAAATTGATTTCCGTGCGCTCGAAATACTTTTTTCTTTGCGAAACGAACATTTTCTGCACAAAACTCAGATCGCGTGCGTGCAAAATGCACTTTTGTGCGCTCAAAATATGATCTTTCGCGCGCAGAATTGTGGCAGAAATGTAAGCCCATATTATGGTTCCAGCACATGAGGATGTATTAGGAAATGTTCTATTCACACATATGCGAGCCAATAGTTCTCCGAACTCTCAGAAGACCTGTGTTATTACAATTCCACGGCTGCAACTTTTGATCACTTCAGCGAGATCGCTCCACCAACATCCCCTGGCATAATGCGTGGGCCCTCATTCACCTGTCCATCACGCAAACACTATGTTAATTCCCGCATCGTGTACCCCTGTCCCACATCCCCTTCATTCAATTCTTTGTACCAATCCCCTCTCTTTCCTGCCCTTTTATACCCACAGTCTTCTTTTCCGACATTCTTTCTCCAATCACAGCCCTCCGTCGGAGGCATAACAAACTCTCCGAGCCCGAGGGCTATACACCTTTTGAGAAATATTTTGATTATGTGTGCTCAGTGTAGGTGGCCCGCCGAACACTTTCACTGTCTGCATGGTTGGTAAAGTCACGTCATAAATTGTCATCAAAAGGCAGTAATTGCACATTGCTGTATGAAGACTTGAAAACAATAGCCTATCTAATTATATATTGTGTGTACCATAAAAAGGTCACATAAATTTACCCAGAAAACAAACAAAGCTCACACAAGATTTAAACACAATTACTAAAAACACTCAAAAGCACAATTTACACTGTATGTAATAACTAATAAGATTATACACTATTATTTTATTTTATAATATTGTATTATTAATGATAGTTTAAAATAATACACTTTTAACAACTTGTTTTGCACTGCTAGTTTTCACCCCAAAATTTCTCAGGTCAGTCTTTTTCCCATGACCCCAGGGTGACAGGCTTAAGAACTAACAATAGAAGACACAGAAAGTGTAAAGGTGTAAAGTGAAACTAATTAAGTCATAGAAAGTTATTCAAAGAAAGCAGGTCCAAAATAACACAACATTATCTTTTAAAAGTTTGATCATTTTAAAGTGTAATAAAATGTTTCATGCACATATCTTCTGAAATATGTAATAATTACCAGAAAGAGATAATTAGTACCGTAAACAACAAAATAAGCCCCGATCTCTCTCTTTGCGTGCCGCTTACCTCTTGCAACAAGTGATCTGCTGCGTAAAATACCACACCCCTACAATTGTTATGCAAATGAGCAAAGGCTTGCGTTGAGCGCTGATTGGTCAGACGTGGAATAGAATTGGTTCAACGTGGACTGCAAACTATTGCGGCTCAACAAGTGGCTTGTGGATAGAGTTGAACAGAGTTTAGACAGACAAACAGCTGTGATTGTAACGCTTTTCGCGCCCTTTTTTTAACTTTATTTTGTCTGAAAAACTTGTTCTAAATGTTTTGATTCATCGTGCAGTTCTTTTCTCACTGCTGCGTTTGATTTGGCCAGACAATCCCGGCTGTAAAGAGACTTCACCTGCGCCGGATTTGTTTGACCTGATTAGGTTCGCTTGGACACTTTTAATTGGCTGCTTTACGCATTGAGCGATTGAAACTCAAAGTGTGTAGTGGCATGATGTACAGCATGATGGAGCATGAACTGAAGACCGCGGGTCAACCTCATCCCCACCACAACAGTCCAGGGATGTCTCCTCCGGTCAGCGGGGTTGGAAATGCGCATCACGGATCAAAAATCTCTTGTCCACCCGGCGGGGACCCCATGGACAAAGTGAAGCGCCCCATGAATGCGTTTATGGTGTGGTCCCGGGGTCAGCGGAGGAAGATGGCACAGGAGAACCCCAAAATGCACAACTCTGAGATAAGCAAACGCCTCGGTGCGGAATGGAAACTTTTAACGGACACCGAGAAGCGGCCGTTCATCGATGAGGCCAAACGGTTGCGGGCCGTACACATGAAGGAATACCCCGACTACAAATACAAACCTCGGCGCAAGACCAAAGCCCTCATGAAGAAGGACAACCCCGTCGGTAACTATCCTCTAGCAGCCGGTAACCTGTTGTCATCAGCCGTGGCACATGGACAAGGCGGGAGCCCGAGAATGGACGGCTATGGCTGGGGTCACACCGGCGCTTATATGGGAATGCAGGGTGAAGCACTCGGATACCCGCAACAACTGCACCGATATGATCTGTCAGCTCTCCAGTACCCACCGGCACAGACCTACATGAACGGCGCCAGCTCGTACAGGTTTGTTTTTGTTTATAAATGAATTAATTTAGTTAAGTTTAGTGTGGCTTGACAAACTGTGGAGTTGTGTGGGGGCAAACGCGCACAGAAATCCGTGTTAACCGATTCGGATTTTATTATGCTTAACTTTGTGATGAGTTGGAAAAAACAAACATTTGTAAACAATTTTACATCGTTCTCATTAAATGTTTATATCAAACACGATATTTAATAGAAATTCTACTCCGTAAAAGTACTTCTATTTAGTTTAAGAAAGTTTGCATTTTTTCCAAACTTAAGGTTTTTGTGCTGAATGTGCTTAATGTGCTGAATTAACTTGCCATTTAATTTGATCCTCAAAACCGCACACCTATTCAGCACTTGTCTATAGATTTTATATCGTTATAAACGCACATTTAGGCTATTCATGATTTGCCTATATGTTAACTTTAATCATATCCTGACATTTATTTACTATTTGTCTATAAATTTTGTCTCCAAGTCACCACAACTAAGCTGGCTTAACCTGTATAGACCTGTTATCTGCTTGTCAGCATTATTGGGAACAAATGCAGAGGCGTTTTATGTGTGGAAAGATAGATTCTCCTTGCCACCGGTGTCTGTCTGATCTTCTGATGATTTTGTCCTTTTTTTTGTCCACAGCCAAATGTCATATAGTGGCAGCCCTCAGCAGCCCAGTCCAGTGATGTCTATGGTTAAACCAGAACCCCTATCCCATTCGCCTACTGGAGTACCAAACCACCACCGTGGGGCTTTCCAAGGGGACCTGAGGGACATGATTAGCATGTACATTCCAGGTGGTGACACCAGCGACACCTCAAACCAGAGGGTCTACCCTGGAGTCCAGCAGCACTATCTTGGTGGAACTGTTCCCCTCACTCATATCTGAAGTTTAGGGAATGCTCCCTGAACTCCTATTAGTTGGACCCTTATTGGGACTGTAGTGCCACGCATAGACTTTATGGATTATTGAACACTTCTGATTGTTTACTACCTCCTTGCTTTGAATGATCTGAAGTTGTCTGTTGAACCTGTATAGAAAATTTAGCCGTTTCAGTCTCTTGTTTTCTGTCTTTGTAGCTATCACATTTTGACCAGGCGTAACTTCTCATGACGTTAAGGTTAAGTCAGCTCATTTCGCCATTCCATATTCTAGCACAGTCATCCTCTTTGTTCCTTAATAGATTTTTTTTTTTTTTGTGAGTTTTTTTGTGCTCTGTGCAATTTTTTGAACATGCGTTGTTCATGCAGCAGTGGGCAATCATGATCCAAAATCGAATTGGTGTTCAAAACAGGGCAGCATATTGGGAACTCCAAAAAACAGGTCAGCCAATAATGACTGCCATGACCAGTGATGAACATGCCATGTGACCTTGAGAGGTGTAAATTTAGCACGATTCTCAGCACATGAAATAACTGTGTGATGGGTGAAGTTGACCTAAGTGTCTCTTTAAATCTGGGTATTAATATATAGTAAAGTGTTTTGGACAATCTCAGGGCTTTCTTGAAATGACATAGATCAGCTGTAACATTGCTTAATCTAATTAGAAGTCCTTGAAACTGTTACCCAAATTGTAATAGAGGAAAGTCATTCGGTCACTATCTGCTTTGTTTTCCTACTTCAAATAATAGCTGTAAATTCATATGTACCATACCAGTGTGCACCTTTGTGAACTAACAATTTTTTTTTTGTTTTTTTTTTTGTAGTCCTTACAAGGAAATTGCACTCCTGTAAATGGTCAATTTTAGGCATATTTACAGATTGCTAAATGTTTGTCATCTAGCATTTCAGCATTTCCCTCTTATGGGTCAAACTCAAATGCACTGATCTTCGCTATCAGTCAATGCACTTCGTTAGACTAGGAGGTTATAGACATCACCTGGTCTTATTCATTCTAACACGCCATTAAGTCTGCTTTTGCCATACAGTATGGTTGACCAGTGAGTTCAGTGGACTTGACTGAAATGTTCTTTTTGGGCACTTCTTTTTTTTCTTTTCTTTCTTTTCCCCACAGTGACCTGGTCCTTTATCAACAAAATGCAAAGTTATGTTAAGGTCTTGAGATTTGTTTTGAACTCATAAACGGTGTGTAGGCATTGTCAAATATGTAAGTCAGTCTGACTCATTGTTGCCACAAAGCTCGGTCAGTTAGTTACTAATGTTTTGGTTAATTAAATGGTGATTTAAGCACAATGAAAAAAGTTTACATTGCCATTGAAGTGAGTTTGCAGCTTACAGTTTAGTTTTTTTTTTAAATGGTTTTAATTTTGGTTTAAATTCCTTTTGTACAGTGTATATTTCTTGTTGTTTTTTTTTTTCTGGCTCTTATAAGGGCCGTTTTTACAGAATAAATGACAATACAACATCTAGTCTCAAGTTTTTATTATTTTGAAATCTTTGTGAATTAAAGTGTTTTTGTAATTTCCACGTTGCATGATACCGGAATTGTGTACCCATTGTGGCAGTCTTTTTGGACCTTCATGCGACAATAGTTTTGTTAATAGTCCCATTGGTGGACAAAGGAATACTGTTTGCAGTCAGCCAAGGTACATTTAATGTGAGTGAAAGTGTCTGATGATAACTACCAAGATTAAATTTACTAAATTAGTATTTGTGATGTTAACGTGGTGGCCTCCGATAGGTGACCTGCTTCATGTAAAATAAAACCATTGGTATTACAACTATTATTTCATTTGCAACTTAAGTGTAAAATCCATTATCCAAAATCCTTAGTGTTGCCTACCTCACACGTTTATTACTAATTTCATGTGGTGACTGCATATTATTTTAAAGATTTATCAAGAATTTATTTTATGCTATTGTTAAACTATTGAGACTTCTTTAGCCTGAGGAAAAAATGCTGATTGCACCTTTAAATTTACATAGAGAAACTTTTTTAATTATAGGTTTGTGTCGTAAAAAGTTTGAGGAGAAGGTTAAATACAAAGAAAACGGATAGAAAGCAACGATTTAAGTGCGAAATCATCTACTTTCACTGTCCACCTCAGAATAACCCTCTCTCTCCAGATTGAAAACTGGTTGTTGTCTCGGTCGTAATTGGCCGTTTCGGAGGCACATTGTCCGTTGCTTTTGAGCTCGCAGGTGTACGTAGTAAGCCACTGAATCCGGAGAGGCTCCCTTGGACCACTTTGTTCTCTTTTCTCGCTTCCCGCTGTGCGGAAAATTAGCGTTGCCGTCGTTTCTCCCCGTTTTCTCCTTGGGTTTAACCCCCTCACCTCCTAATGTCATTCTCATGAAAATGTAAGAGCTCGCTGCGGCTAATCGGAGGGTGAAGGGAGGGGAAGAGCGTGTAGACTACTTTACATTTACCCTGATAACAGTTCAGGCGTGTTCCCAAGTTAGATAAAGTAAATCATTATATATCCATTATAATAAAAAAAAAAATAAAACATTTAAAGGAAGAAAACTAAGCCCACGTTGTTTGGCGTATCATCAGACGACTTGCTGTTGTGACTATGTTTGGGGGGTTAAGAGGTCGACTGTGGGTGTCTAGATGGGTGGGGGGTGCTGGATGCTCCGCTGAGAAACACACAATCACTTAGCAACGACCACTGAGGCTTCAACAAACTGTTACCGTGGTAAATTGTTGGGTTGCCAGTTTGCAAGATTAAAGCCAAAATTCGATGTCAAGGAATTGATTGAATGAGCACGATATCTTTGGTATGTTTTTAGCTGATTAAATTGCTAAGTCGCGTTTTTATTATTATTATTATTATTAATAATAATAATAATAATAAAAGTTTTAAATCAGTTGACAGCTATTTAGTCATAAACCAGGAAACGAGATTAATGGTTGCTGTGGAAACTGGGGGGTGCGTAATATTTACATGCATTCAGAGGGAGCCGCTCCCCTCCTGCACGCACACACGCACAGCCTTCACTTCCCAACAGGTGAAATAAAAACTGATTATATGAAGAACCTGGTGATTATGGGTATGACTTGACAAATTTACTGTAAAGTTTTATTTGATTTTATTTAATTTCAATTATGCAAAGGCAATACAATGTATAGAGTAGGCCTGTGTTTCATACCAGTTACATTTTTGTCCAGTGCCAGTTTAAATGTTAAAAAACACTTTTTGTCTCACACACTCATTTTGTTTTGTTGTCATTGTGTTTTGTTTATGGCCATTATGGTTGTCTTAAAATATCTTAAGCTTAATATTCTCAGTGTTATTCTTCAGTTTTTGTTTTCATTTCTGTTTCACAGAAAAACAACAGCTTGATTGACATGAGGGTGAGTAAATAATGTCATCATTTTCATTTTTGAGTGAGCTATTTCTTCAAGCAGACTATATGCTTGTATTTTATTTTCAATCTGTCCACAGGCCTCCATCAAAACGTGTTGACCCATCACTCTCTTGTAAGATGACTTGTCAGTCTTACCTCAGATGTTGTGTATGCACAGGTGAGTGAGTGGGCGTAAATTTTTCTTCCTTTTTTTTTAACCGAGCCGCTACGGTTGGTTGAAATGCCACCAGGGCTGGATACACGCATGTGTGCGAGTCAGCCTAGACGAGCGCTGCCTGTCACGCAATAACAGGAGGGTGGCCAGACTCATCCGATAACAGACTATGTTGTGTCTGCCACATGTCAAATGTAATTTTATAGGCTAATAATATCAAGAAACCTGATTAAACAGAAAAATCTGTTTGTGTATACTTTACACAACATATGTTGTGTTGTGTGCACAGACAAACAGTAGCCTATAAAAAGTAAAAGACAAGAGAACAAAACAAGGTAAAGTAACAAATCTGCACAGCATATGCGTGGGACGTTTCTGCCAAATCTATCAACATCCTGTATACTGAGCTATCTTTTAAAATCAAGATTTGGATGCTATTCTAAGTTGGTTTAGGTGTGTACCTCATACATTTTTCACTTTATTTATTCAGAAGAAAATAAAATGAAACACATGGATTCCAGCTTGTCAACAAAACATATCTACATCAAAAGACTGGCATAAGGCCAAAGCAGTAGTCTGTTTAGCTCATAGTTGGCAGTGTCCACAGTAAAATGAGTTTTTTTGGACAAGGCAACTGAAATACCTCTATAAATTATTTTTTTTATTTTTTTTTGTCATAATGAATTTTAAAAAGCTGAAGAGGAAGCTGAATATAATGAGGTATTACTTCAACTTAGTCTCAGCAAACCCATTAAAAACGTTTAATAGGGCCAGTTTTACACAACACTGTAAAGTGATTGAAACTTTAAAAGACTAAATGCTGCAGTAAAACATGTAAATTGGTTAACAGTAAGTTCCCTTACTATATACGGGAAAACAGTAATGGGTCTGTTCTGTTAACTGTACCAAAGCAATCTTATCATTTAAAGGGAAAAAATGTATACATCCCAGAATTCAAAACATATTTGTTGGTGTTTTAAATAATTGTGTTTCTCAATAGTTTTGTTATCAGTTATGTATATTAGGGTTTTATGTTACATCCTATTGTTCAATTAATGTTTATTGCATTATTTTAGTTTTAGTCTACTTGTGATTAATTTTGATTCTTCATCTGGCTTAATCTTTTTCACCTTTGTTTTTATAGTGGTTATCAGTATATAGTGCAAAATTGGTTTTAGTAGTAGCATGGCCTTGATAATTCAGCAGAAAAGAGCTGTTGGATTTACCAGTTTAAAATGTAATTTATTTATGAATATAAATGACAGTTTTATGCTGTAAAATTTACAGGTTGTTCTGTAAATGTGTTTACATTTTAACTGTATTTTTACACAATTATTCTGGCAGTTTTTTTCTGTACAAACTACAGGACTTTTTTTAACAGTGTAGGGGGGAAATAATCAATGCATTTGATAAAAATAGAAAATGTTGAGACCCCAGGTCAAAGCCCACCGTTCTGAGCAGCCGTGGTAGGCTTTGATGGAGCACGTGTACATTTCTGTCAGGTTAATGTGGTTAATAGAGGAAGCATTTGCGCAGCAATGAAAGAGTGATTGACAGGTAACACTTATGAGCGCACCACACCCCGGGCAAGACTGGTCTTGCAGCAAATCGAGGGAGAGCAAGGTGGGGTGAAACAGAGGCAGAGTGAAACAAGATACTCAGGATTACTATTTCCAAAAAGACAAATCCATCACCTGTGATTTTATGCATGCAAAGTTAACATGCAATGTTAATAGGCATACCTATGATGTTATATTGTCTATACTTTGACAAAAAGCTGACAGCTAAAGATTTTTATGTTTAGAGTCTCTGACAAACCGGTCTGACACATGAAATCTGCCGTTATAGGCTGGATGGGGCATTTGTCAAGCACCCCACATAGGTGGGGAGGTGGTGGTGTGTACCGCTGATTAAAAGATATAGATACGAGAAAGAGTCTCCTCCTCAGGTGAGGTGAGATAAGACCAGAGGCCAAACTTTGAGGGCTTCCCAACAGACCTGAGAAAGAAAAAAAAGCTGTGTAATCCAACATTATGGATTTTAATGATACATTAATTTAACTGTCAAAAAAACCTGACCACTCTCTAACTAACTAACTAACCCTCTTTCTTTACTCCACTGAATATTATTGACATAAGTTATATACGCTACTGTTTAAAAGTAAAATTTTTTAATGCTTTTGTAATAAATATTTTATGTTCACTGCATTTATTATACTCGCTGCATTTATTAATTTACAAAAAGGTAATATTGTGACATATTATTACAATTAAAAATAAAATAAATAAAAATGTAATTTATTCCTGTCATGGCAAAGCTGAATTTTTTGACACATGATCATTTAGAAATCTTTCAAATGTGCTGATTTGGTACTCAAAAAACATTTCGTATTATTATCAACGTGGAAAATGGTTGAGCTGCTTAATATTTTTGTGGACATTTTTTACAGTTCTTTGATGAATAGAAAGTTTAAAAGAACCATTTTTTTAAATAGATTTTTGTAACATTATAGATGTCACTTTTGATCAGTTTAATGCATCCTTGCTGAATAAAAGTATTAACATTTCAAAAAATAAAAATAAAAAATGTACTGACCCCAAACTTTTGAATGGTAGTGTAAATAAGGGTATTTACACTTAAATGGTATTCATTGGCATCTTTAGCTATATCTTTAACTGTGATTATCAAAAACAAAATTCATTCACTGTCTAAACATTCTATTTGATGAAAAGGGATCTGATGAGCATTGACAGTAGATGTGTTGATATGAACTGTGCCTAGCCCTGCTGATCAGCAAGAATAGCCGGTTGCAGTTGGGGGTGGAGTTGAGAAGAGAGCCATCAGATCAGATGCTTTCTGCTTTTTGCAGTGTCTACGGGAATAACACTACATGAAAGCAACAGAATGTTGTTGTTGAGTTGACTCTGTAAATTTAAGTAGAATGTGCAGGCTAAATTTTAAGCATTTATTTAAACATGAGCAAGCCTACATTATGAACACAACCAAAGAAATCATGCAGAAAATATGTCTTTAGAGGAACTTACAGAGGAACCTAATCTATTATGCTTCACTTTAATGTTTACGTATATGAAATCTCTAAATCTCTTAAAAAATTGAACAATGAACAGAAACAGAAAATATTTCTTCTACTAGCCAACTTTATGACTCTGAACTATCTCTGTTGTTATTTAGAATTTGTTTTTGTGATACTTGATTATGTGTATTCCACTACCTATTTATAAAGGAGAAGCGTTTTGGGGGATGTATGGATGATTTGGAGATTCTTTTGAATTTGTTTTATCTATTGCTTTATTTAAAATGACGTATAACTGTATTGTTTCATTGTTTTTTTCTCACACACTTTTCATGTCACACATCAATTCTTGGTTTAATTTTAGTCTCATTAAAATAAAGGCACAAAACACTTATTATCAGCTATATTACTGTTAGGTAATCAAAGATGTCATTTGAAATTGTATGCTTGTAAATAGGTTGCCAGTATTTAGACTAAATTAGATGTAATATTTATTCTGATAAGTCATTTTATAAACCATTTGTGCATAAACAATGTGGTGTTAAATAGAACTCTATAATTTGAGCTTATATTAGAGAAATTATTTGCTCTTCCTGCTTTTGATATTTAGATAAACACTCTCATTAGATGCCAAGCTTATCTTTCTGCCATTTGCATTCAGCCGACCTGTCTGAGTGCACCATTGTTCAAGCAGTACTTTGTAAATTCTGTTTATGTTTGCCTGCTCTGACATTCTTGATTGTCTTCCCTCTGTGCATCTAGAAGACAGAACAACCAACTCTGCTAGACCCACAGGAGACTCAATGTTACCAGTTACAACGGAGCAGAGAGAATTAAGCACATAAGAAATAATGGTCATGTATGAGGTACGTAGTACAAGTAACTGCAGTGAGGGATTGTGTGTTGTAAGTTAAAGTAGCATTGAAAATGACAGATACTATAACTATATACAAGAATACAGAGCACTGATCCAGATATTCAGCGCTTTTTAAAACAGCACAATTAAACATCAGCAGCCCTGGGAGAATTTAGTCACATCTGGCTTGATGGGCTTTATTCGTCAACATTTAACCACATTTTTGCAAAAAAAAGAAAGAAGAAATCCAACTCGTTGTAGTCAGTTAAAACATACTTTTTATTAGGATTTCAGGCTAATTGATTTCAGACTTCTTGAGTTGGACTTATAAAATAGCGACTGAATACAGTTTCTGAAACAGAACCAGTACTGCCAGTATCTTTCCAAGCTTTCTATGTGACTTATACTGAACTTCTCTTTAAAAAGTGATGACAGATGGAGACTTAAAGACTGACACAAGTAATTAATGATATAGCTAGTAGGGTAAAGGATTCCAGTGAAGAAAACTGATAGCAATTGTATTTTTATCGACTCTTTGCCTCTCTCTGGTGGTACAAGTATGTATCACAGTTCATCAATTTGAACTGTCCATAATGGATAAATGCAAAAACACAACTTCAAATAAGAATAAAACAGTTTATTTATTACATTTTTTTCCTACAACTGTTTGTCTTTTTTTAAAGCCTTTCACACAACGAACACTACAAATTATCTGATGGAAATGTTTTACTCAATGGTCAAAAGTACACTGCAACTTTAGATATGGTCAAACCGTAAATCACAGCCATTTGTAATATTTCATTCATGAAATAAACTAACAATGAACAACAGATGTTCACAAGCAAAAAAGGAAAATCAATTCTCAAAAATAATGTGTACAAATATGCAATTCCCATCATTCAAATTAAATTTTCCTTTTACCTGCAGACAGCTTGAAACTTGCTTTTGATGGGTGAATACTACCATCTACAACAAAAAAAATTTTTTTGATGTGAATTTCTCTTATTTTGCCATGTTCCCTTTAGTTGTGATGACACTCAACAGCGTGGCTACATGTACTATTGCATGACCATTGCAATTTAAGAAATATGACAGCAATTGATTCACTAGACTCTATACATTACCTAAAGATAAAACGTTTTGTCAAATACAACAGAATGTCTTTTCTAGCAACATGGGCATTTCTAGGTTCTGGAAGACTTTGTAAAATAGTGTCCATATGGTTGGATTTGTCTACACAGAACAGAAAAACTAATGATCCCTTGTGGGGATAACGTGTTCTAATAGGGCTGCCTTTAGCATGTGATAACACATATTTTCATGTGTGCACTTTTAAAGTATTTTGGTCATTTTTACAATTCTGAAATTAATATGTACAAAAATCTCGGCAGACTTTTTTTCACAGATTTGTTGTTGAATTCAAAATTGCTACATGGATTTTAGTGGAAATTCAGTGAGCCAGGGTAAAGTGAGCAGTACGACAGTATGTCAGTAATAATACACGAGGTTATAATATGGTTGAATTTCAGAATACTATGGACACTACTCCCTTCCCTGAGCTAAAAAAAATGGTCCAATGAATGAAAGTCCACTACCATAAAAAGGGGGAAAGTTCTATAATTATAGAAGGACCCCTCACCATACTGGCTTTTTGGTCCACTTCAGGGCACCTGGAATACATCAATGTGTGCATTATACAGTATTTGTACCTGCCTGTAAGCAGTGATATGTTAACAATAAATGCTTTTAACAAGTGACCAAGGGACAGAGCTTAAAGGGTTAGTTCACCCAAAAATGAAAATTACCCCATGATTTACTTACCCTCAAGCCATCCTAGATGTATATGACTTTCTTCTTTCAGACGAATACAATCGGAGTTATATTAAAAAAAACATCCTGGCTCTTCCAAGCTTTATAATGGGAGTGGATGGTAGCCCAAAATTTGGCTTGAGGGTAAGTAAGTCAATTTCACAAGAACCGTCATTTTGATTAGAATACATCTAATTCCCTAATCGGCTGTCCAGTGCACTTTGTCAACCTGAGTGGTCGCTGAATTTGCCTGTTGTTCGGATCTACTCAGTCTTCTTCCTGAGGGCAGGGCTGCTGTTCCAGTAGTAGAGGACTTGAGCTGCGATCACACCATTACAGAAAGAAGAGATGATGTAGGTGACAGCCATGAGGGAATCTCCCGTTTCCTGTACAGAGGACGCATTAAAATGGGCATTTATTAAAGGAACTATGTCAACCCGTTTTCAAATAAATAGCTACAAAATCCAAAGAGGACCATAAATAGTTTTCACTAACATTAATTATCAGGTCATAAGTCTTTTTTAATAATTTCATTCAGCAAGGATACATTCAATTAATCAAATTAGTTAGATAGGATTTTTATATTGCTCCAAAAAATCTCATATAAATTCTGTTGTTGAACTTTCTATAAATCAAAGAATCTTTTAAAAAATGTAACAGGGTTTCCACAAAAATATTAGGCAGAACAACGGTTTTTCTAATTTGGTAATATTAAGAAATGTTACTTGAGCATCAAATCAGCATATTATAATGATTTCTGAAGGATCATGAGACACTGAAGACATAAGCTATGGCTACTAAAAAAGAAAACAACTTTACATTTTAATTTATAATAATATTTCACAATATTAAAGGTTTTTTTGAGCATAAGAGACTGTCCTCATACTTCTGTCCTCCAAAATATTGCATGACATCTCATTATAGTGGTTTTTACCTGCACTGTAGTGAATATGCGTGCTAAGGAGCCTGCAAACAGCAGAAACACTGAAATAGCTGACAGCTGTCCAGTGTGGCCATTTCTGTAGTTGGTACCAGCCTGAATTAACTGAAGACACAGAGAAAATTGGACACATTACATGAAATATATATTTCTGCTGGGTCAGTTGTTGAACAGCATTGGTGTTTTATGTCTAGCTTACCCGTCCAAAGATAATGGCTGGCATATTAGAGGCTTGCATGGTAGTAACAACAGACATTGGTGTCACAGGAGAGAATAGGACTGCCAACAGACCAAAGTAGACTGCCAGAAACCCCAAACCTGCAAATAATCGCAGCACAGTCAAAAGATACATCATAAACTTTTTGACATTTAAAATGAATGACAGCAGCACAGTTTTTGTTTGATTTTTTAAAACTTACCTTTGATGGTGTTTCCTCCATAGTGCTGTATGAGGAAACCAATGGTCACAGTTTGAATCATGAGGAAAAGTGCCTCACCCCAGGAACTGTCAAAAATAATCACAGTAAAACATGTTATATGTGACCATGGACCACAAAACTAGTCATAAGTGTCAATTTTTTTTCAAATTAAGACGTATACATCACCTGAAAGCTGAATAAATAAGCGTTCCATTGATGTATGGTTTGTTAGGATAGTACAATATTTGGCTGAGATACAACTATTTGAAAATCTGGAATCTGAGGGTGCAAAAAAATCTAAATATTGAGAAAATCGTCTTTAAAGTTGTCCAAATGAAGTTCTTAGCAACGCATATTACTAATCAAAAATAAGGTTTTGATATATTTATGGTAGGAAATGTACAAAATATCTTCATGGAACATGATCTTTACTTAATATCCTAATGATTTTTGCCATAAAAGAAAAATGGATAATTTTGACCCATACAATGTATTGTTGGCTATTGCTACAAATATACCCCAGCGACTTAAGACGACTTTTGTGGTCCAGGGTCACATATATTTATGTGTTTAGTAACCAGTTTTTCCACTTTGCTGTTTGATATTTATAAATGCACTGTGTTTGTATAGACAAATGTGTACCAGACTTATGAAAAAGCACAATTAGCACAATTATGAAAAAGTGTCACTACTGATTTACCTGAAAGGAAAGCTGTTGGCAATACTGTAGGCCATGGTGCCTGTGATAGCAAACAGCTCCAGTAGCACAGAGTTAAAACTCAGTCCCTCAGCACTTCTGGCACCAATCAGCTTTAGAATCTGAGGTAGTTTTACTTTGAAGAGGCATGCACAAAATATCTGTATTAGAAGAAAATTGTTTGGGTTTGTGTGTGTTGTAAAGATGAAGAGGGAGTCTTTTCATACCTAATACAGAACCAATAATGATCCCAATGCCCAGGCCTTTGCTGATTACAATCTTCAGACAATCCACTAAAGATAATCACAAAGAGGAACTTAGGAGTCAGGCTTCGGTATGACTTGTAAGTGGTTGCATGTGAAAGTTTAGGCACATATTTTTAATGCAAGTTACACAGCAAATTCATTTAAAACAGACATTATTATTACGTTTGACATGTATTAATTAAAACCAAAGGAATCGGAGGTTTTAACAGCTTTTACGGAAACCCCCGATAATTACCGAGGACATATAGGTATCCAGTAAGAAACTGACATGTAACGTTATATGGGTCCGCCTCCTCTAACAAGCGCGAGGTAGTGAAGCTGACGAGGTTTAATACAAACATAAAAGAATAAAACACATTTACAGTTCAGAGGACCGCTCGATAACTAAGAAACATATTTTGTATGATAGATTATCATAACTTAGGACTAATTTTAAATAAGAATATCTCCCCTAAGGTCGACAAAAAAACGAATAATGCAGTTACTAGTAGGGCTGCACGATAAATCGCATGCGATATTTAACGCGCATCTTGTCAGTAAAGCCGTTCTGTAATCAGCGGTAAATCTCCATCACGTGCAGGCTTTCACATTGAGCAGCATTAACTACACAAATCCGTTGTTCTCTGACGAGCTGCGCAAAAAATCGCGCGAATATGAACGTGGTTTTGCGCAGCTCTTGTCATTGAATCGTTGTAAGTATACAAGCAAATAAGCTTTGAAATAACGTCTATTTATCTATAACGTTACTACTAAACTGATAAAATGTGAACCTACCGTGCAGAAGATTGAACTGTAAAAAGAACTCGTCATAACATTTTTCTGGCATTAAATAATTAACCAGAATATCTTTGAAAGGATCCATGAATGATGTTTCTACAACTGCTTCCGCCATGATGCAAACGTCAAATCAAGTCACGTGATGTCGTACGCTACTTTAATTCTTCCCCTTTATTTATGGAAACTCTTCTATGTTCCTTCGACTAGTGATTAAAGAGAGTGGATCCAACCACGCCCCCTGGATCTCGTGTTCTGCAGTGAGGGGCTACTGGAGAGGTGGCCAAAAATATTACTTAGTTATAATGCATTATTATTATTATTATTATGATTAGTAGTAGTAGTATGTGTATAAATTGTGACTTCGTTTAAAGCGAGCTAGTTTGTCCTCAGTGACGTTCCATAGAAGTAGAAGCGATAGTGAAAATAACATTTTTAGATGTGGTAAACTTTTTGTTTCTTTGAGCTCAAATTATCCCAGTTACACAGGCTCAATAAGAAAAAGTGAATCTGGCATCAATTCCGACATTTCAGGCCAGCCATACTGCGTCTCAGTGTTGAAAGAGGGCTACTGCACAGCTGAACCAGACTGAGCGTTTAGAGCTGACGGTACTATTTCTTTAGTTACCGGACAGCAAACTATCCTAGAGGACACCGGAGGCCCGTGGGGCCGAGACTTTCTCGTCGCAAAACTTGAGAAAGGTCTTACACCAGATAATGTTGCTACAGTAGTCGGAACCCACGGTCACTCGGACCACGTGGGCAGGGGCGTAGCCATCATTTCAGAAGTGAGGGGGACAGAAATGTTATATATATATATATATATATATAACATTTCTGTCCCCCTCACTTCTGAAATGATGGCTACGCCCCTGCCCACGTGGTCCGAGTGACCGTGGGTTCCGACTACTGTAGCAACATTATCTGGTGTAAGACCTTTCTCAAGTTTTGCGACGAGAAAGTCTCGGCCCCACGGGCCTCCGGTGTCCTCTAGGATAGTTTGCTGTCCGGTAACTAAAGAAATAGTACCGTCAGCTCTAAACGCTCAGTCTGGTTCAGCTGTGCAGTAGCCCTCTTTCAACACTGAGACGCAGTATGGCTGGCCTGAAATGTCGGAATTGATGCCCTTGCCCGAAAAGGTGCGGGGAACAAATTTACGTGATAGTAAAAGTGGGGGGGACACGTCCCCCGCGTCCCCCGCGTAATCTACGCCCCTGCACGTGGGAAACTTGGGCTTGTTTCCAAACGCCAAAATAATCGTGGGATGTGACATAAGCGTGGGGGATCGATATCTGCCAAACCAGCTGGCTGAGGGACAGCCATACCCTATTGACGATTTT